GATCGTAAGCTAATTTAAATACGAATCAATAACGAATTACGAAATTAACCAACGAAACCACCCAGCCCTAATAGAGAGGGGGCTTTGGGAGAACCCCAACCCTCCTGGCCCATCCACCCCACTCCGACCTGCCATGCTGCCCCCAAGTTAGAAAGTTTGCCCATGTCTGATCTACATCCTTGAATGAAGAATTGGTTTGGGGTAGCTGTTTATGTCTTCCTTTTCTCACCAACTTCCATGAATTTCATTTGCAGGTAAATTTGTCATTGACCTCACCATGAAGGGATGTGTTACAGAAGCTCTGTGTGCCTCAAAAGAAGGCGAAGTCACTTCTGGAAATGTTCATACCAATATTGCTAAGGCGACTTGTACTCCAGCTTCTGTTGCTGCTTGAATGATTCCTTCACCGCTTCAGCTTCTGGATTGTGACAAGAGCTTCTGACCGACTGGTTTTGGGCTACAATAATGCCTTCTTTTCTTTCATTGATTGTTTGTTTTGCCAGAGTTATTTCCTTTTAGATTATGTTTTCTAAGAGCCCCAGTTTACTGGGCACTAGGGAATTATTAGAACTGTCAGAAATTAACTTTATACAATTATACTTTTCTTGATACATTTTACAAGCCACTTTCTTCTTCTAAGAGCTTTGATTTGTAGACAAAAAAATGATAATAAAAATCTAATTTTCTCTGATTGTTGTTCTTAATTTCATTAAGAAAAGTTCAGTTTTTTGTTGTAGCTGAATATTCACAGCCTCCAACTGTTCCAAACTGACAAGGGTACTCCTGATTAATCCTCTGCCTTCCCACATTTCCAGCTGCTTTTAAAAGGTCCCAGTTTCACTCTCCTCCTCTTAGTTCCACCTTTGTTCTTAGCTTGCTTTAATTAGTGGAAACGCAGTTCAAAATGCAAAAAGATTACATTCTGTACCAAATTGCAATATGTAAATATTGTCCTGAATAAATCTTGAACTGTGAATAGCCTTCAAAAGTGCATGATTTTCTAATACTAATTCTAATAACACAACAGAAAGAGATATGAGGAAATAAATTACTCACTGATTACTTTAAGAACAAACTGTCTTTCCTAGGAGGTGGGAATCAAAGTAAGTTAATGCATTAGCATTTCTGGATTTTTCAAAAAAGGGTCATTGATGGCCAAAAAAAAGAGAACGGTTAGATTATTCTGCCATGTTTTACCCTCCTGGTAAATGTCCATCACAGTACATGCTGGGCTGCTAGAGATTTTTGCTGTCTAGCATAATACAGAATCTTGGCTAAAGTATATTTATTTATTTATTTATTTATTTATTTATTTATTTATGTATTTATTTATAGTATTTATATTCTGCCCTTCTCACCCTGAAGGGAACTCAGAGCAGATCACAGATCACATATACAGCAAATATTCAATGCTGTTATACACTATTGAGACAGACAACCGTACATAGATAGATATTGTCCATTGTGTGTATCCTGTCAAATTGTGTCTTGTTTTGATGATAAATAATTCTATTTTATGTGTGGCACCTTGAGTGCTTTGTTAGGTGCCCTGAGTACCTTCAGGGGGATGGTGGCGGGGTACAATTAAATTATTATTATTATTATTATTATTA